GAGCAGGGAGCCCGATGCGGGACTCGATCCCGGGACTCCAGGATCATGACCTGAGCCGAAGGCAGTCGCTTAACCAACTGAGCCACCCAGGCGCCCCTATCCTTTAAGTCTTTATGGCCCTTTCCTGTCTGTCTCTGTTTCTACTGACAAGGTGTGGTCTTGTCTTTATTATTATTCATTCCCTTGAAGAATCCTGAGTCTCCTTCAAGCACCTTCTTTTTTCCAGCCTCCTCAAAGGAACAGCGCCGCCAGCAGGTGTGTGGGTGAGGCTGGGGTGGGTCCTGAGGTATCCTAGGCCACGGGGCTGCCCCTTTGGGGCGGGCCTCAGCTTTCTGAGTCCAGGGGGTGGGGGTAGGAGTAGTGGTTCCCACGGTAGCACCAAAAGCGCAGAACCACAAACACCACGGCCCCCAGTAGCAGGAGGAAGCCCAGGGCTCCAAAGAGGATTCCGAAGAAGGCACCCAGCTTCATGCCCAGGTGCTCACAGCGCTCACCCCAGGGCGTGTAGATGGAGAAGGGCACACAGCTGCGGGAAGAGAGGAGACATGGTCAGCAGTGGGAAGGCCCCAGGAGGTTATCCACGACAGTCTGGGCTCCCCTCTAGGGACCAAGGCGGAGCTGAAGCGTGGCTCCTGGGTAGGGGAGGCTGGCGCAGGTGACTTCACCTGGGCCCAGCTCCCCGTGGCCGGCGGGGCGGGGCTGGCTGCCAGTGAGCGGGGGCAGGCAGAAGCCCAGGCTCTTCCCAGCCGTCCTTGGACCTGGGAGCAGAGATGGCTGGGGGGATCCGGGACTGCAGTGGGCGCAAGGGTAGACACAGGGCACTGAGGTGCCTCGAGGGCCCCGGGGTGGTCCTGCCCTTCTCCTTCTTAGCAGGCCTGTAGACTCTGTGCACTCCCCCCACGGGAGCCCCTCAGACTGCCGATGAACCACAGGGCCACAAGACGCCAGTGTGAGAGGCCCTGCACTGACTGGTACTCTTACGGAGGGGCAGGGCCGGGCCTAGGCACAAGACACTGGGTGCCTTTCCCACAAAGAGACAGCAGAATGTTCACCCCAGAAGCAAAACTGGGTGGAAGAGTTTGCCATTGGAACCCACATCCCCCTGGATGCTGGATCTGAGCAGAAGCTCTTGCTTGGTCCCACCCTCGAGTCACACACAGCCGCTTCTGTTGGGTTAACTTACTGGTGACCTTGGGCAGGTTCTACTTGGGCACATCCCTACTTAACTTACTGGTGACCTTGGGCAGGTTCTACTTGGGCACATCCCTACTTAACTTACTGGTGACCTTGGGCAGGTTCTTTACCTATCTCTTCTTTAAAATGGTCCTAATACCTACCCAGGAGCTAAGGTTGAGTTTTAGAAGATATATAGCATCTTTAGTCTCCACACAGAGTAAGCACTCACACGTCTTTTCCATGATCCCTGTTCTCTCAGTTATAAAAAAAAACAACAGCCCCACCGTCCTAACTTGTGTGGCTTTTCTGGGCCCCTTGCAGTATCTCTGTCTGGTTGGCCCTGCCCTCCCTGCTCCTCCTGCCCTCTCCCGGACTCACGTGCAGCGGGGGCCTTGCGGCCAGTGCTGGCACTGGCCTTCGTGCTCACAGTAGCCCTCGCTGCACGGGGACACACACGTGAGGCCGCTCTGGGGGCTGTAGACCAGGTGGTAGTCCTTGTAGCCGCTACAGATGAAGTAGTTCCTCAGCGTGCTCACGTTCACTGGCAGGAAGGACACAGATGAAGACAGAGAGCAATCAATAACTTCAAATCTATACCTCTTCCATCAAGATTTCTGTTCTCAGGCATTTATCCTGAGCATATCATTGGAAAAGCACACAAATACGTATGTTCATGGGCGTCCAGAGCAGTATGGTTTATAATAGCAACAATGTTTCATAGGCGGGGTTTTGTTAAACAAGGAATACTGTGCAACCAATAAGCACCGTGGGATGGAAAACACGTTGGTTAGGAGCAAATGCTTTGAAGTAAACCAGACCTGTGTTGAAATTCAAACTCTACTACTAACTAGTTGTGTGCTTTGGGGGAAATTCCTTAACTCCTTCAGCCTCAGTTTCCTTATCTTTGAAAGGAAACGATAATCACCGTACGTACCTTGCTGCGAATTTTAAAGGAGATAATATATACCGAGTATTCATTACATTGCCTAACACAGTGAGCACTCAATACATGGTCACTATTGGTATAACATTCTGTTTAAAATATAGCAAATAGGGGCACCTATGATAAAATAATATATCAAATGGGAATATGTACACAATATTCAAGACAATATGTTCACAATTGCTTAAGTAATGAGGTTATTAAACATTAGGTACTACTTGATCCCTTTTTTTTTTTTTGGTGCGCAGCAAAGCAGTTTATTGAGCGATAGTACAAAGCTCCCGAAGAGGGAGGGGACCCAAGAGGGTTGCCCTACTTGATCCCTTTATGATAAAAAATATTGGTATGTGTGAAGATTCCTATGCATAAAAGAAAATTCAGAAGGATATGTGCAAAATGGACTTGTCTTTGGGGATTGGAATTACAGGTGATTCTTTTTCTCTTTGTTAATTTGTGTTTCCTCAAGTTTCTACAGTAAACATATTGTATAATAAAAATTGTGGGGTTTTTTGGCTTGTTTTCTTTAACAAAAGGTATAGTCAGGTCCAGAGTGGTTGTTCCCTTATCCCCACCCCTAATGCCCTACCACACATACACGAAGTAGTTTGGAGGATTTCACCTTGTTGCCCCAAGGAGGGAGGAGGCACGGCCTGGATCTGAGCAGAAGCTCTTGCTTGGTCCCACCCTCGAGTCACACACAGCGGCTTTTGTTGGGTTAGGCATGGTCACTGCCCTGTTCTCTGCCTCACTCCCCAAATAGGGTGGTCTATTCCTTTCCTTCCTTGGTGTGCTTACCAACTGGTCTCATTCTTGTTCCAGGATAATCAGGTACGATCATAGCGAAAAGGGACCTCAGAAATCCCATCTCATTTTCCAGATAGGGGTGTTAAGCCTTGGATTGGGGATGGCTTTTGCCCAGGGTCACACCTTGCAAGGAGGGGAAATCTCTGCCCCTCGGCCAGGTCTCCAGCCTTCTGCTTAATAGGCTCTGGCTGGAGGGTAAAGGCAAAAGGGATGTCCCTGTTTAGGTTTATAAAGTGCAATGGTATTTTAACAAAATCATTAACAATTTTATTGAAAGAAAGAAAACTGTCAGCAGCGGTGGTCAGGAAGGTGGCAATTAGAGTAACAGCTCTGTGAAAACTGCCTGGGGATTCATCAAGCAGTACTTTGTGCTCTGCTCTTGAATCTAGAAAGCTGGTGGGTAAAACGTTTAAAATCTCTCTCTCAAAAATGACCATCCAAAACCTAAATTACTTGCTTCTGGCTTCTCTGTGGCCCTCCATGGAAAACTGTTCCACCACGGGTTTGTGCGGGCTGAAGACCTGAGATAAGTTCCCCTGTTTACCCCTCCTTCAGCTATCCCTGTGACCATCCCCAAGATAGTGACTCACGAGCTAACAAACTGTCCACGTCCTCCCTGGAGATGGGGTGGAAGTTCACGTTGGTCCTGGGCCCCTCACTTCTGCTCCACCGCCTCCACGAGGACTGGGGTAAGAACGCTTCCAGCACTGCGTCCAGCAGCTCGGTGTTCAGGAAGTCGATGACAGGACCCGAAGGGAGGTACTGGAACTCCGAGATGACCTTCCAGCGTCTAAGTAAGCTTCCGGAGGCCAGCGCTGTCCCGGATTCGCTGTGTGGGAGGGGTACAGTGAGGCACGAAGGGTGGAAGCGGAGGGGCGAGACCTAGGGACCCGGTGGGGACAGTCCCACTTACCTTGGTGCCACTAGCCTGTTCCGAAGGAAGGCCCGCACATTCAGGTTCCGCAGTCTGTAGGCCACCTAGGGCAGAGGATGGGGGAGTGGGAGTGGGAGTGGGAGTGAGGCGCAGTCCAAAGAGGAGACCCCTCCCACTGTAATGCATTTATTTACCCCCATCTGGCTCCTTCTTTGCACACAAGCGCCAGGACCTGCAGAATCTTTCTCACCCCATTCTGCATACCCACACCCCAGCCTGGCCTGGTGACCGGCGTGGGTCCCTGCTTAATCAGCGTTTGTTGGTGAGGAAGGACTTGGCCTACCTCCCTGCCGCCAATGACAAGGGGAGAGTCTGAGATGAATGGCCCCTACCCTTGCCTCTGTTCCCTGGTTCACCCACTCACTCTCTCCCCACATGGAGAGTGAACACTGATTATGTGTAGCCAGACCTCCGGGATGGTCAGGTGCTGGGGGGTCAAGCTGACTCAGGAATAGTCCGTACTCAAACATCCACAGTCTGGTAAAGTAGACAAGCATCAGCGGACTTTACCGTACGGAGTGCAGAGTGCTGTGGTAGCAGCACTAAGAATACTTCTTATTTTTGAACACTTGTATTTTAGGCACCACGGTGAATGCTTTACATACATTATCATTTAAACCTTGACACAACCCACCGACTAGGGACTATTATTATTTCTGTTTTGCAGATGAGACATCAAATGATTTGTCTAATGATTACACCTGCTCTGGGGAATGGTAGAGCAAGGATTTGAACCTGGGTATGGAGGCTTCTAGAGCCTCAGTAATTCGACTACCGTGTGGTTGAGGAGGGGACAAGGGCATAGGAGCCAAGAAGAGGGAGCTGCCAGTTCCCTCTGGGAAGTCAGGGAAGGCTTCCTGGAGGTGAAAGGCCTTTTCGTATTTCTACCATACCATACCCAAGTGCAGGTCTCTAGGACACTCAGGAGGAGAGGCTAGGGTGACTTGAACCCCCGAGACCCTAGTCTGGTTATTCCAGTCCCCTTGGAGATCTCTGTCCTGGGGCTTCCTGCCTTCCTCACCCCCAGCCTTCGCCGGGGCAGGAGGCTCCGGCCTCCTCTGGCAACTGAATCTGGATGGATGACTAGCTGCAGAACACATAAATGAGGGCTAAGACCCTGCCCTAAACCTACCAAGGCCCCCCTCCCCCGCCACCCAGGGCTGGCCTGCAGCACTGACCGAGGCATTGACATCTGTCGCAGAGGCATTTTCTTCTTCACTGAGCCAGAGCTGGATGACTCTTAAGGGGAGCTCTGGAAATGGGAGAAGCAGATTCACAATCACCTCACAGTTTACATAGACTTACCCAAGAAGGTCATTGGGCCAGCTCAGGGAGACTGCCCATTCTACGGTGACAGAGAGTCACCAGATGAATCAGGAGAAGGGGCTGAGTCCGTTGACCCTCACCCTAGCGCCCATTCCACTGAATCAAGGCTTCCTGACTCCCGTCTCTCTGGGCCAGGAGGCCACCTTCACTCTTTCCTCGGCGGACTGCTCAGGCCTGGGGTTCGTGCTGTGGCAGCTGCCCCCCCCCCCCCCCCAGCTCCCAGAGCTGGCAACTTAACCATCACCTGAGAGAGATTCGGAGTTCTGCCCTGTGAGTTGGAGGAACTTAGCTCTGCCCCCCTCCGAGTCCCTCGTCTCCCCTCAGGGTGAGAGAGATGCGGAGGCAGAGGGCATCGGACGGCACCTTGACGGACGGTTGGAGCGAAGTTGTTCCCGGCCACGATGCAGCGGGTGTCGGTGAAGGCCGGGGGGCAGGTGCAGGCCGGCCGGCAGCCCAGAGCCTGGGAGATGGAGCAGTGGCCCCGGTTGAAGCAGTAGTTCACAGGGCAGGACTGGTTCTGACAGAGGAGAGAGGTCTCCCGAGCTGCAGAGGGAGCAGGGTCGTCAGCAGACCAGGCCGGGCAGCGGGGAGGGACGGAGCCCACAGAAAGCTGCTGCTAGGATGGGCTTGGTTTCTTTCCCCACAAAAGCTCACTCAGTCTGCGTTCTCCTTCTGAGTCACTCTGAACCCCAAACTATCCTTCTCCCTTTTCCAGACAGTTCCTCTGCCCGGTTGGTATGCTCCCACTGCTGCTGGAGGAATGGCATGTTTATCAGACCCCCTGCATCAGGAAAGGACCCAGAAGGCTGGCAGGACAAGGGCCCGCCAGCTTGCTTTCTGCACTTTCATCCCTTTTTCTGCCTTATAAAGCTGTGGTTCTTCCCGCTCTGACCTCTGCTCAGAAGACACGGGGGCCTCTAGATTTCCTTTGGGCACTCTAGGAGGCCTACTGACGGCCTCCCTGTGGTCTCCCTCAGCATGACTCCAGTGGCTCAGAGGTCAAGAACAGACGGTGGGAGGAGGACTCAAAGGGAGGACCCTGCCACCAAATGCCCATGGCAGCCCCCCACATGTCCCAACTGAGATGTGGAGACCCTGAGCTTTGTGTCTCTGAAGACGCATGAGGAGCCTGAGGGCCCCAGCTTGCCCCTGGCTCCCTGGCCGCTGCTGGACGTCTGCCCCCCGCCCGAGGCCATCTTCAGATTCTTGCCCTGGGCTTTCCCCCTCAGAGCCTCAGCCTGCCCTGCCCTGGCCACTTCCCCATGCTTGCACAATCTTCTCCTTCAGCCTCACACCTCCCTGGACATCCTGACCTCCTTACCGTAGCCATCTGTATTGAGTATTCTAAAGACTTGCCGGAAAAGGGAGAGGAATGGTTTGCCCCAGGCCCCAGGCCCTCCTGGTGCCAACCGTCCGCAAGCCTCCTCCCACCAGGGCCCTGTCCCCGGCTCACCTGAACAGTGACGCCCATCCCCAGTCAGGTTTGGGGGGCAGGCCTCGCAGCCCTTCCCAGGAATGCACTGCACACTCCTGAAGCACGGCTCCTCACAGAGGTCCTTGGAGAGTTCACAGTAGTGGCCAAAGGTGTTCCTGTCACACTTGCAACCAGCCACCTGGAACGGGTTGCTGATTACTGGGTAGCCAGGAGGCGGAACCATTAAAGGCTTCTGGGTGTTTCTGTACTGACCCCTCTGGTCTGAGAACCCATGGACCTCAAGTCCTTGTCTTAATTCCGCCAGCATCTACGTGAGCACCTTCTTGACCAGGCTGTGGTCTTGTACATCCTTGCCAAGGCCACTGGGTCTCCCTGGACAGTTCTTTCCCCCCGACCCCTCTGCCTGGTGCCAGCCCTGGGATCTCAACCACACCATATTTCCTTGCCAGAAACCCTTTTTAGAGTTAAGACAGGGGCTAAGTATTCTACTATCCCTTGAAAACTGGATCTTACGTAAGCTCAGTTTCCTGCTCCATCTTCCCTTGCTGACTCCCAGACCAAGAAGACAGAGCCGCACTGCTAAGCACAGTGAGAACACACAGCAACCAGAAAAATGGCACAGGGAGGTACTGACTCCCCAAACCTCGTCCAGCCCTCTGGTCTCTCTATTCTGACACGCCTATGGAGATGACTCTGGAAATCTCCCTAAAATGAATCCTCTCCAACACTTTCTACTTCCAAGACTGGATATTTTGGGATACCTCAAATAATATATTGATTTTAATCTCTGTTTCTCCCAGTTAGTGTCTTTTTTCTGTCTTCTACCCCCTGGGCTCCTCTACCACTACCCCTTTCAAGTATGAATCCTTTGTTCATGCTTCGGGAGAAGGGTGCGTGTGAGGGGTGAAGGGGGTGCTGGGGTATCGCCAGCCAAGCACTTTCCTTTATGGCTCCTGCTTTACAACCAAAGCAAAATAAAACAAAAACAAAACAAAATTTTTAAAAAAGAAACGGGGCAAGATTCATAGACTAAGACCAACTCTCTTGGTTAAAACTTGCAGGAGCAAAGATTTTCTCCAAAATAAAGAGACCCTTCTTTTAGCTGGAAGGCGACAGTAGAGGAGATAACAAAAGGGTTTGGGAGTGTCAATGTCATAGGGGACCTGCCCTTCTCTTCCCAACACCACAATGATGAGACCCTAGAGAGAAATGGCTGCGTGGTGCTTCTGGGCAGATGGGAACTTAGGCTTCCTGTGTCTGAGCAAGGCACAGAAGCCGCAAATCACCTCCCTGGGACCAAGGAGGAGGGAGCAGGGAGCCTGAGATCTGTGTAGGCTCATGCCTAGGGACCACAAGGATGCCTTCCTGCCCACATCTCTCCATGCCTCGTTCTAGAACCATGGAGCTGGGTGGGGGGTAGGGGGGGTGGCACCTGGGTGGCTCAGTTGGTTAAGTACCTGACTCTTGATTTTGGCTCAGGTCATGATCTCAGGGTCGTGAGACTGAGGCCCCCGTTGGGCTCCCTGCTCAGCGGGGAGTCTGCTTGAGATTCTTTCCCTCTCCTTCTGCTCCTCCCCCTACTTGCTTTCTCTCTATCTCTCTCAAATAAATAAATAAATAAGTCTTTAGAACTGTGAAGCGGGGAACCCCTGGGGAGTTTTAAGGGATGCTGAGGTGAATGTTTCCTGTCAGCCTGGCAGAATGGGAGCTAGGAGATAAAAATTCAGCTGAGCTATAAGCAGTGAAGAAAGTTCTGTTTCTTATACACGTAAGTTTATGGCCCGAGATTGATGTTGACTCTCCTCACCTACCACAGCTCCCAACACACACATTACCACACAGGGACTGAAGTATGACATCTCTTCAGTTCCCACTGCCTTTCCCCTTAACAAGGAAACCTCCCGGGCGCCTGGGTGGCTCAGCTGGTTAAGCGACTGCCTTCGGCTCAGGTCATGATCCTGGAGTCCCTAGATCGAGTCCCGCATCGGGCTCCCTGCTTGGCAGGGAGTCTGCTTCTCCCTCTGACCCTCCCCACTCTCATGTGCTCTCTCTCATTCTCTCTCTCTCAAATAAATAAATAAAATCTTTAAAAAAAAAAAAAACATGATATCAGGGCGCCTGGGTGGCTCAGTTGGTTAAGCGACTGCCTTCGGCTCAGGTCATGATCCTGGAGTCCCGGGATCGAGTCCCGCATCGGGCTCCCTGCTCGGCAGGGAGTCTGCTTCTCCTTCTGACCCTCCCCCCTCTCATGCTCTCTGTCTCTCTCATTCTCTCTCTCAAATAAATAAATAAAATCTTTAAAAAACAAAAACAAAAACAAAAACAATTTTGGGCGCCTGGGTGGCTCAGTTGGTTAAGCGACTGCCTTCGGCTCAGGTCATGATCCTGGAGTCCCGGGATCGAGTCCCGCATCGGGCTCCCTGCTCGGCAGGGAGTCTGCTTCTCCTTCTGACCCTCCTCCCTCTCACGCTCTCTGTCTCTCATTCTCTCTCTCGCAAATAAAAAAAAAAAGACCATGGAGAGCTGGGAGCCTTGACTGTTGTGCAGTCTGACACATCCTGGCATCTAACACCCAGAGTGCTGATATTGGCCTTCCTGCACCTCTCTCAGACCACCCCTCAAACGTCATCAGGCATTTCCTTGAGCTTGGCTGGTTTCCTGGAATGATCCCGGTCACACCCCAAGCTGGAGGCAGCATGAGCCCCACTAAGTGATTGTACGGTGGAACTCCACAGAGGGGAAGGCAGTTGCCCCCTGAAGAGACCCCAAAGGGCAGCCCTGCCTGCACCTGCACCAGGATGGGACAGCCAGGAGGGACAGAGAATAAGGTCATAAGGCCAGGATCTTCTGGATGCTTCCCCAGGCTACACTGCAGACGAAACTGGCTTCCCCTCACAGCAGCCCCGTGCCTTGCCCTGATTTCTTGCCCACCCCTCTCACTTTGTGGACCTTTGAACTTCAGACACCAGACTACAGTGAAAACATTGTTACGTATCAGCAAGGACTCTTCTGATCCAAACCTGTCTTACAGTGTCCAAGAAAATAAGCAAGTCTCCTTAACATAGCAGGTTGAGAGTTGTTGATAGTAGGGGACAGATGAGAGTAACTTCCAGGCTATCCCTCTTCAGGAGAGGAGCCCAGGGGAGGAGAAAAATCTCCTGATGCCATTGGCTAGCACCTGGGAGGGTGCCACATGGAGCCGAAGGGTACACACAAAGAAATTCCTTCTTATGCACAGCGAAAGAAAATGAGGCAGAGAGAGGTGCTCTGAGCTTAAAATAAAGTCCCTAATGGCTTTGGTTTAGCAAAGATCAGTTACTAGCATAATTGGTGCTGGCCACAGAAGGCAAGTTGCGTCCTGTGAGCTTTGACTTTTTGACCCAGATCACGGTTCTAGAACTGGGGGTTGCCACATCATTACTGACAGGGAGAGATGAGGCTTTGCTTGATCCCAGCCCAGAAAAGCAACAAGGAGAGACAAAGTTAGGCAAACATGGTTGGCCGACATAAAAATAATGAGAAACATACCAAATGAAGGTATTTGTATCTTTAAATCCTGTTCCACATTATATCCTTCTTTTAAGAGATTTGAAAATGCTTTAGATTAGTATTGTTTTAGTTGTTATACTTTATTCTAATAATTTGGTGATTGCATAAAGCTGGTTTAAGATGATTGCATGTTATTGGATTTGAGGTGAAATGACCTTTGAATCACTTGTATGGGCCCCGAGTCAGTGAAGCTAGCTGGCCAGATTGCCAGGAGGCCATCACTGCAATTCACTGGGGGCACCTATCTGAATCATACAGATCATTCTAAGAAATGCTGGTCCTGGATATTCTGATGGAAAAGTAACATGAAGTAGCCCAGCGTATAATGATGCAAAATTACTTAAAGCTTGACTCTGACCTCATCCCTTCCACCTGCAGCCAAGTACTCTTACCAAAGAGCCTGAAGTCAGTGCCGTTGTTCCTCAGAGTGAATGTGACCTTCGCAGAGTGGCTGGTGTACTGAATCCGCTTGGTCTGCCCCACGTAGGCTTCCAACACACGCTGACCGTCGATGGATGGTGGGTACTTATCTGAAACACGAAGAGGGGATTCGGGGTTTGGAGCAAGACAGTTTCTGGCCTCACGGGCCTCCTCTCTCTTTGTCTAGTCCTCTGGTTTATGTGAGGCATTCTCAGGGCTGTGACCCACCTCTGGAAGCCAGAATTATTCTGTGTATACCTGCTTTCAGATCTCTGTAGAGCAGGTTGGGGTTCTATTGCCCACCTGGCCAAATCCTTAGCTTCTCTTTATCTTCCCCCCAGACAGGATTCAGGTCAAGTTCTTTCCTGATCAGAGTGCTATGCTTGGCATGGTACAATGTGAATCAGAGGACAGGGTTGTTCAGACTGTCACCGAGTTTTACTTCTGGAAGAGGGCTGGAAACCGTGAGGCTCATCTCCAGACGGGCATTGCATTTGTCAGGAAATAGAGCGATGCAGTGGAAATGCTATTTCCATTTCATTGTTCATTCATTCATTCAGTCACTTAACACATTTATTGAGCCCCTACCATATGGCTGGCACTGTTCTGGGTAGTGAGGCAGTAAACAAATAATAAAAAAAGAAACCTATGAAAATTAGAAAATATGCTAGATCTAAGTGCTAAGGAGAAGAAACCAAGCAGGGAAGGCGAATAGGAAGTATGGGTAAATGTGAAATTTTTGACAGGAGAGCCAAGAAAGGCATTACTGTGAAGGCAACTCTATTTGCGTAGAGCCTTGAAGGAGGTGAGCGGTGAGCGTGGGGCTGTCTGGGGGAAGGGAGTCGGACAGAGAACAGCACGTGTGGAGTCTGGAGTCGGGAGTGAGCCTGGTATGTCCGAAGAACACAGAGAAGCCAGTGGGGCTGGAGTGGAGGGAGCAGGGCGGGGAGAAGCAGAGGAAGAGTTTGAAAGGTACTGGGATCAGGCTGGAAAGGGCATCACAGAGTGAGCTGGGGAGTCATGGAGGAATAACATGAGCAAAAGATACTGTTAAATTTTTTAAATGTGCAGCTTAAAGGAACGTCATGAAAGGGAGGTGCTCCTCATCTGCCACCTGACTCTGCAAACGCCTCCCTGCTCTTTGTGCCTCTTACTGAGGGTGGCGTTCATCTGCTGGTGTCTTCTGAAGAGCATCTTAGTGCTCAGGCCAATGCCTGTGTTTCGTGTGGCCAGGCTGTCATAGATGCACTGTTTGTCTCCGTTACACTCGGCGACCAGCTTTTTATCCGAGGTTTTCTTTTGCAGTTGGGAAAGGAAGATAGGGGTGAAGTTGGAAGGCAGATGGTCATCTCTCTTGCCAAGGAGTCTTGTATCATTGATTTCCCCTATAACACAAGGAAGGCCATGGAGGTGGTACCAGGGATGGGTCTCCAGCTAAACTTCTGCCCTGTCCACCCCTTACCCTCACTTTATATGCCTTGGGGCGAGGGAGGGAGACGTGGAGGGATGGAGTGACTTCCGGCTTTTGAGGCTGGAAATCCCTCCTCTAGTGAGTGAGGGCCACCACTTCCCTCATCTTCATCTTCCAGGATGGGGGTGGAGGGGACAAATCTGGGGTGACACCCGAATCCTCAGCATATCCTCCCGGCCTTTCCACCTCTCGCTCACAAAGGATGGAGGTCTGGCTCCCATAGGCCGAGGGAGACAATGCTTCCTTCACCCCGGCCCGGCCGAGTCTACCCCGAGGACTCTGAGGCCCAGACTTACAGGTCATTCCATATTGAAAAAGCGTCTCCTCAGCGCTATTGCTGGGAATGGTGGAGCCATTGGGCATCCTGAAGTCGTCATCTGGATTGTCATTCCAGACTCCTGAGGGACAGAGTAGGAGGTCGGCCACCCTGGAACTGTGGCTCTCCCCTTCCCTGGGGAGCATCCAATGGGGCACGCTCAAGGTGTGAGGGGGACGAGGGGGCCTGGGAAGCCTCTTCCAGTCACATCTGTTCTCGGTTCAGTCCTTCCCCCGGGGGGAGGCGGGAGGACCACACCTCATAGCCCGCCCCTCTGTCTCAGGGATGGAGGAGGGGAAAATGAAGGAGGAAATGGAGGAAGAAGGGAGGGGGAGTGGGGGCTGGAGGGAGGGGAAGAGCAGCTGCTGACTCTACCCTCCCAAGAGCCCATCCTCAAAGCCCCCTGGGCTGCCCTGGAACTGGAGCCTTAGGATGACAAGAAGTGAGGCTCGAAGGAAGCTGAAGAGGTCCCTCGTCAAGCCCCACCTCTCCGCGCCCTCGGGGTTCTGTTCCCAGGGGGCCGAGGAAGGGAAGCTCAGCCTGGGACGCCCACAGGCCAACTGGACGGGGAGCTGCCTGTGGTCTGGGGCTCGAGCTCTTGTGGCTGCTGCTGCCTCAGACGCAGAGTCCTGTCTGCTTCTCACCCAGGAGGCCTTCTGTGCGGTTTCGATACTCCTCTGGGAGGCTGCAGGAGGTGTGGAGGATGTTGGCAAGGGCGGTCACTGAGATGGTCACGGTCCCATCGAAGGTGGCTGACACCAGGGAGCCATTGCGGGTCATGATGATGCCGGTGGTGTTGAATATCTCCAGGCCTGGAAGGTTGGGAGACAGAGGAGGAAGAAACCAGCATCGGAACCCTGTGGGTCCAAGACTCGGCAGTAGTGAAGGGTCAAGGTGCAGAGGGGAGACTTTGAGAGCAGCTCTGGGGTGGCCTGGGGGTGTCTTCTCCAGGGTCCCAAAGTCAAACTCACAGGACACCCCCTCCTTCCTGGGGACTGGAGACTGGGGCGAGGCTATCACGGCCCTGGAGGAAGGAGAGAAGTGAGGAGGGGAAGCCTAATGCCTGGTCCTGGGTGAAGAAGCTGCTCAGGCCCAGCTGCTGAAAGAAGAGGGGGTGAAGCAAGGGTGCCGACGCCCCCCTCCACCCCCCATGCTGCTGCCTCCGCCTGACTCCCAGGCGCTGGGCGCCCCGCTGAACCCTGACCCAGGGAAGCGGGAGAAGGTGGCTGACGGCTGTCCCCAGCCTACCTTCCGGGTCTTCACGGTTAGTCTCAAATGTCACAGTCTGGTTATTGACCTGCACATGGATTGTGTCACTGGGCTCAAGGAGCCATCGGACCTGGAAGGGAATTGGAGGAGGTCTAAGCCTGACCTGCGGGTGGGCCCAGAGGCTGAGAAAGGAAAGGAGGCTGCAGAGAGTTTGCACCTGAGCCCCGGCAGTGGCGGGGGGGCGGTTGGGGGAGGAAGGGGAGGGGGGTGATGATGAGGTTGTGCTAGCTAACGGCTTTAGAGTGCTCAGCAGGGGCCAGGCTGGAGCTAGGCACATTTCTCAGATGATCTCATTTAAATCTCACAACGGCCCTGTGAGGTAGGTAATAGTACTATCCTAATTTTACTGTAAGAAAACTGAGGCACTGGAATCTCAGTCGTCTCTTCAGGATCACAAGGCTGATGGAGCCCTGACCTGAATCCCACTGTCTCTAGGGTTGACTCTCGAACCACTACACTGGCCGGATGTGTCCTCCCTCCCTGCTGCCCCATTCTCTTCCTCCTTCTTTCTCTCCTTGAGGGCCCTGCCTCACTCACTGTGATGGGGCTCAGGCGGCTGGTGTCATATTTAGCCGCAAAGGCAATGAAGTTTGTGGCCTGGGCCGAGCCGGTCTGGGCGGTGCGACCCTGCAGCAGGAACGAGGAGTTTCCGTCCCAGGCCCGGACGAGCTGGAAGTCCCCCAGCCCGTTGAAGGTGAAACTGGCACCATCCAAGGTGGTGATGTGGGGGTCCCCAAACATCCAGGCTGGAAAGAAGGAGAGATCACATGGCATGGCAGACCAGGGAAGGATTTGAGATCCCCCATCCCCTCGAGGCCAACTCAAGGCTGGGAGACGTTCAGGGAGTATAGAACCATCCCCCGAGGCCCTCTTGCACTTTTGTGCCCCCGCCCAAATTCACATCATTATCTCCGCCCTCCCACCCGCTCCCCAGTGCCATGTAAAAAGCCATCAGCCGCACACCGGACCATCTCCCCGTCGTGGTCACAGCCCTGCCCCAGGAAGCTCGCTATCCCTCCCCAGCTGCTCTGCCTCAGCCCCGCAGGGCCCCAGCAGCCTCACCGGGGCGTGGGGGCCGATACCCGGCACAGCCGATGCGTGGCTGCCTTTGCTGGTAGAGGGCACAGAAGGATGGCTGGTCGTTCCAGCGGCAGCACCAGCTCTGCGGCTCTAGTTCCTGGTCTGTGGAGAAGAGCGGCACGTTGCAGGGAGAGCGGGGACCCGCAGAGCCCGGCCAGAAGGTTTGGTGGGGCAGGATGACATGGGGAGCAAGGGCATGGTTTGGAAATCGGGCACACCTCGGGGCAGACCCTGTCCTGCTCCGTGGCCTCAGGCCATTGACCGGTCACTGTCTCCCTCGGCAGGCTTGCCGCAGCTGTGTGCAGCAAGCCCCCCGGGCTCATGGCTGTGGCCCAACAGCTTTCTTGCCTGAAGCGTGGGGCTGAGTCCCCCTGCTCTCAAAGTGCGGGAGTGGGGATGCTGGTCTGGGGAACCGTGGAGGCTGCTGTGATTGTCCGGAGTAGCGGGGTGGAGGGAGGACCCACATTACCCTGGTCCCCCAACCCTGTGCCCTCTAGCTCCTCTGGAGGGTCTCTGCGGGAGAGGACAGCCAGCTAATCTGGGTCCAGAGGGACAGGGACAGACTCGGTCCCCCCTCCTTCCCTGGAAAGATGCCCCCACTCTTGTCTGGGGCTATGGGGCCAAGTGAAGATGGGGCAAGAGGCACTGGATCGTAAACCCCCGGGATGGCAGCTGGAAGGGATGTTGGAAGCTTCCCAAAGGTACAGGGTCAGGAAATTTTTTTTTAAGATTTTATTTATTTACTTGACAGAGAGTTAGAGAGAGAGCACAAGCAGGCAGAGACGCAGGCAGAGGGAGAGGGAGAAGCAGACTCTCCACTGAGCAGGGAGCCCGACGCGGGGCTCGACCCCAGGACTCCGGGATCATGACCCGAGCGGAAGGCAGACGCCTAACGACTGAGCCACCCAGGCGCCCCAGGGTCAGGAAATTAATGGCCAGAGAGGGGAGGCTGCTGGGAGGGAATGGGGACAAAAGGGCTTCTTTCTTCGGGTCCCACTGCTTGGCTTGGAGCCCAGGCCTGGCCTCTGACAGAGAAGAGTAGAGGGAGTTCCAGAGAAGGTGGGGGTGAGACCTCTGCGGACGGGGACACACATACCGAACTGCCAAGGAGCATGCACTCTCCAGCCTTGGAGAAGCTCGCCCCAGGGCCCGTAGCTGCAACACACGCCCCCGCGCCAGGAGGAGAAGCTGCACAGCTGCTTGCTACCAAGGCCCCACCAGCCTGCGACAAGGACAGACGTACTCAGGCCCCGAGGCCTGGGGGGGCGGGGGGGGGCGGGAATGGGCAGGCGTTTCTGGGGAGGGGCCGAGGGTGTCCTGGAAGGGACAGGTCAGGTGTGAGCCAAGGGTGGGTGGGCGGGCTTATGGGGCACGGTGGGGAAGCCCCAAGAGACAGGAGGGAGGTGATACCCATACTGATGGGCTGGAATCGTAAGTCCCATAGTCCCTGCTGCCAGGAGCAAGGGCAGGCGATCTGGTTCCAGCCCCATGTGGGCCACTGAGGCTGTCTCTTCAACCACTGCAGGCACCGGAGACGGTAGTTGGGCCTTTCTTCCCCGTGTAGGCTATAGACCTGCAGGCCCCGGAGGCCTAGAGGAGCAAAGGAAGAAGGGGTTATCCCAGGGCCCAGGGCCACAAACTCTGCTTTAGCAACCCGACCCATAAATGCACCTTCTGTTCGCCACCTCCCCCACTCTGGACGGCAACTCCAGGGATGGGACCCAGTTCGGACTGGCCCCTTTTATGTGGCCTCCAGAGGCCCTTAAAGCTTGGATCTTATGGGGAAACCCTGGGACAAGTGCTGGGCAGAGAGGCCTCACCCGCACCCACTCAGAGCCTGACCCTAGCCCTGAGCTTCAGTCCATCCATCCTCTACCCTCCCATCTGCCACATTAAACTCCAGTACCTTCCAATCTCCCCAAACCTGTTCTTCCTCGTGCATCCTCTACCTCACTAAGGGATGCCACCAGCCACCAGCTCAGACACTTGGCTTTCATCCCTGACCCTCCCCCTCCCCCCGCACAGATGTGTCAGTGGCCAAAGTAGCCAGGACAGAGGCCGATGCCCAGAAGCCAGCTGGGGGCTTGCTCCAGCGCTGTGAGGCTGAGGAAGCGTCCTCTGTGCCCGGAAGCCATCCTTGGAAGGGAGAAGTAACTGGGAGAAGAAACCCTGATGGGGGTTTGAATTGAAATTGACTTTTAACTCTAAGTTACATACTGCCCACCCCAACAGCCAGGAGTGAGAAGGGGGCTCCAGAGTCCAAAAAGACACAACAGGACATAACGTATTAGATTTTGGCCCTGTTCCCACACAAAAGAAGAAATTATCAAGATAACTATAATTTGTTAAGGTTTTGAAAAAATAATTATTGTTTATGATTATCTGTTCACATATCTTCTCTACAATGGCCTGATATCATGGGAAACAAATCAGATCTTCTTCGCCAAAACGCGCACACACACACACACACACACACACACTATCATATTGTGCCCCCTAGGTCACAAGCAGATGCATCTTGACAGAAAGCCCCGAATCTGACAGGGCAGTTCTCTCCACAAGATGGCACCCATGATTTGACTTAGCTTCTGTTTGCCAAATGTTCTTGTCACAGAGCAAACAGAAGTCGATTTACACTTCACAATCTACATGGCTGATTTCTAATGCTAAACTGTCCTTCATTCTACTCACATTTTGGGAACTATAATTTCTGTCCTGTTGGGCCTGTGGACAATAGCTTGAGTCATGTCCCATGGGGTCTCCTGATACGTAAGCACTGGCCTTCTTAACAGAGTGAGAGCTATTTGAGAGCAAATATAGTCAGTCTTTTTCCTTTTTCCCCTCCCCTTCATATTTCTGGCTCTTAGCACACAGCAGATGCTCAATAAATGATGATTGGCTGAATGTCAGACTTCTGGACCTCCCCTTGGTAGATTCCTTTCGGGGATCTCATCAGGGTTCTCATTCCAGCTCTGGGACAGGACACCTGGAGTACTATCCTAACTGCCCATTCATATCCCCCTACCTCCTGCCATAGTCCTGTCCTCACTTCCAGGATCTGGGCCCCCACCAAGAGACCTGGGCTTGACTCATCCCAGGGAGGAGACATAGCCCCAGCAGGGACTGTACTGCGTGAGGGTGCAGAAGATACCAGATGCACCCGGGTAGTGCCAAGTCCTGGTTACACCTGGGGGTCAGACTGTGCAGGGACACCCTCTGGGGTGGTGGAGATGCTAGAGAGCTGCCTCGCTAGGACTCTCATGGCTCATGGAGTTGAGGACAGAGAGGATTTGAGTCCAGCTCATGTGCGAAGAGGTGGCGCTTTTACCTGAGTTGGAATTCAGAAATTGGTCCGGTAGATACTTCTGCCACATTGGCTGGGATGTCAGTGGGCTGTTTTCAAAATGCCCATCTCCACTGCGGGCAAAGGAAAGAATCACACGCCTGTCACACACGGAATCTTTCCCCTCAGTCGGCGAGTTATACATTCATCCAGCCAGTCGGACAGACAGTCACTCAGTCCCGGTAGTCATCAGATCCCAGTCAGTTACGTAGTCAGTTCATCAGCCAGCCAGCATCTCTGACTCCCAGCAGCCAGCAGGAGAGGGCAGAGATGGGGGCAAAGGGTGGGAAAGCTCTGATTTATTCTACATCTGACCGCTAACTGCAAGAAGCTGGTCATGAGACAGGAGTGCGGACACAACAGAGTTCAGGCCTCCTTCTGATGAGTTTCCCTTCAACAGGACATTGGACAGAGGGCTGGGTAGGGGACCGTATGTCGTGATGCTAAGAGCCAGTCTCTGCACTTAGACGGGCATGGATTCCATGCCTGATTCCAGCACTGAGTAGCACAGTAGCCATGAGCAAACTGCTTCATCTCTTTGGTTCTCAGTTTTCACAACGGTAGAAAAGAGACAACAGTAGCACCCGCCTCACAGTGTGGTGGGGATTAAATGCAGCAACATTTGTAGACCCCTCCGAACTGAGTGAGGACCTGATACAATGGGTGCGTACCCCTCGGTGTTGAGGTTCATGGCGCTGCTCCAGGAAAAGGGAAATCTGGTATGTGCCTCTGAGCAGTGACTCCTGACCTTTCCTCCTCTCTGCCACAGGATAGGCAAGGCACGCAGGTGTGACACCTTCCGAGGGCTACTCAGGAGCGTGGGAAATCTCTAGCTAGTTGGATAATTCCACTCCTTTCTCTTTCACAGCACATCAAAAAGCAAGGGAAAGCAATGGAATTATAGGGGCAACCCTGAACACCATCTAAGAGAATTTATAGCAATGACCAGTAACAAATTACACGTGACCTTCGCAACTGATTACACACACCAGCATCTGGAAATACTGTGGTTGGGAACTGTTTGTCAGAGACTGAGTCACCTTCACACACAGGAATCCACGGCCCCGTCTGCGGCTCCCTCCCTCCACTCTCTGTCTTTCCCGCTGACCCCACACAAGCTGTTGGTGCCCCTGGGTGAGGGGCTAATGCTCAGCAGAAGTCAGGAAGGCAGATTTCAGCCTCAACTATCTGGGTGCAAGTTCCTGTTTTGCCACTTCCATCTCTGTGACTTTGGGCAATTACGGATCTATTTTTACCTCAGTTTTCTTATCTGTAGAATGGGTAGTAAAGGGTATCTCCTTCATGGGTTGTTGTGATAATTAAATAAAATAATGCAAGTTAAGTAGTTAGTGTAATAAATGTTGGCTGTTATGATACTTGAGAGGTCAAGAGAGGTTGGCTAATGTCAGTAGAAATCAGAGAAGTCAGAGCTCTGGGAATTATTATGAAGCGTGTGGATTAGGTTGGGAGACAGAATGGCCAGGTGAATGGGCATCTTTTAATTTGAAACAGCAAGAAGTGGGAACTAGAGTTGGTGTGAGTTAGAAACATCAGCAGGAAGGACTCATACTCTGTCCTGGGCAGGGGGTGGGGGAGTGGGTGTGCAGCAGAAACCCCACCCTGCACCACTTCCTAGTATCTACTCAGTGTTGACCATCCGTCCCCATCCTACCTGGAGAAGCCCATGAGGACCGGGTTGCCTGGGCGCTGGGTCACATCCCACTGCATACCGCCACTTTGGTAAAGAAACAGGGCATAGGACCTGCTCCCGTCTGTGGAGAGGATGACCTGGTAGGTGTTGGTCTGGAGGTCGGTTGGAGACAAACATAGGGTTGCCTGTGAGAGATCTGGGGTCTCCTCCCTGATGTCCCATCACCCTCCTCACCACCCTGCCCAGACACCCACATCATCTTTTCCTGGCTTCCCCAGAGCAAGTTTGGGATTGTGCAGGGCAGCTTTCACCCTGGGGGTCAAAGCACCTACCCTGGTGCTTTTGCCTTCTTTGTGACTTCTGTCCAGAGAGAGGTGATAAAGGGCTCTGGTTTCGGACCCAGTGAGAAGAGAGTTTGTGTGAAAAAGCTTCAGGACTTGGAAAGATTAGCCACCACCCCAGAGAGCCGAGAGAGGCCTATTCAGCTCCCTTGGGAATATTTTTAAGGACATTGTTCAAATGTCCCCTCAACCTGAATATTGTGGATGGACCACCGAGGTGACACTGGAGGTTCTCTGAAGGCAGATGCCAAGCACTGCTTGTACAAGCAGGTAACCAGTGAACTTGTAGAACCAATGAAGAAGTGGCTTTAGACCACACACAAGGGCTGTGAGAGTCCCCAGAGGGAAGACTGAGGACACTGTGTGGGGTGACCATTGCCATTGGATGGTTTTGCAGCTGAGAGCCAGAGGCGGGAGTCAGAAAGCCTCAGTTCCAAGCCTGGCTTTGTCATTTGCTAGCTGGGTGACCTTGAGCAGCTGGCTTAACCTCTCTAACCATCGTCTTCCTCATCTCTAAAATGTGGCTAATAATATCAGGTTGAGCCATATAAAATTGCCAACAGCCAGCCATTTTTGACTTTAAAAAATTCCATTTCCTATGTTTCAACCCAATGAGTACTAGGTGAGTGCTCAGCAAACAGGGTCGGGGTGAGGAGGTGCTATAACCTGCAATCTGTCCCTGAGTCAGAGCACATGGTAGAAGAGTGACCCCTGCCTAGGGCTCTAGGATGTCTGACTTCCGGATGGTTCACAGGGAGCTGTCCATTGGTCCACTCACCCCGAAGGTCCACCGGGCGGGATAGGCAGGGGCATTGACCCACGTGACCTTTAGGGTCCACCTAGCTTTGTAGCTCCAGGTGTATGTGAACTTTTTAATCCAAGACTCCACCTGCCACAGTAGCTGGTTGTGTTCATCATAAAGCGTCTCATATTCCTAGGAAAGGAAGGCAAATAAGACAAGGAAATGAGGGTCCCACCACAGGTCTTCTCATGGTTGTGAACGCGTATTCCCGAGTCTATGTAACCGTCCTGCTCTGTTTGCTCCCCCCCCCATATTTAAACATCACCCCCTGCCCACACGGAGCCCGGGCTCTGACAGCAGTAACACTTGCACACCCCCCACATAGCCCTTTGTCTCTTCTTGCTGGCTGCTGGGGAATCCTGAATGCTGGACTCGGAAAGGCTCACCTGGTAAAATATGGTTCCCTGGCCGCTGGAAAAATCAGCATCATCCCAGAATGGAGCCACCAGGGCCACAGAGTCCGAGCCTGTGAAGCCTCTAGCGGGGGGATTGGGGTAGGAGAAAATCTGGTACTCGGACTCCGGGAAAATGATCTGGCCATTATCTGTGAACTGGGCACAAAGGTTCTTCTGGTTAGTGTTTAGGGAGGGAGGGAGGGAGGGAGGCAGGGAGAAAACATCCCAGCCTTGGGCCAGCTCCTCAGAAGTGTGACCCCCAAGGACCTCTCTGGGTAGAACTGTAGAGATGTCAACAACTTCGGCAAGGTTATCTCATTCCTCTCGCTGCTTGCTGGGAGAGCCCCTTTTACATAGTTCTCACACAAATGCTCTTCAGCTGCGGGACACTCCTCTCTTTTAAGTCCTTCCTGACATGGTAGGTTTTGCCCTGCCTCAGCGGCCAACCCCATCTACAGACAGGCCCATCACAGAGCAGAGCCCTCTGGGTGAGTCCCCGCAGAGCCATCCTGAGGCTCCCTCCACATCAGAAGGGGCTAAGAGGATTGCTACCCTCAGTCCAATCGCTGTGTTGCCCTATCTTAGTGTGTCCTGCCCCAGCCCCCACCCCTGCCACTGAGGCCTGCAGGGTCCACGACTGCCATTCCGACTCTCCTCCAGGACAAGCCAGGATATATTCATAGAAAATGTAAACAACATTAAAAGGCGGTTTCCCAAGTAGAGCTTCCTACCCATAAAAAGGCCCTGAAAACAGTGGAGAGTTTACTGGGTCCCCAGACCTCTCTACTGAGGTAAAGACACTCTTGTCCATGAGGGTAGGGGGGCCTTGCCTAGGTCCCAGTCATCCTCGGCTGTCACCCTGGCATCAAAGAGCATAAATGCAAACTGCGCCAGGGGCAGGGAGGCAGTAGGTGCCTAACAAGTGTTGCTTGTTCCATTCTCCTTGCCTCTGGGCCATGGTCATGGTCACAGGGCCATCTCCAAGCCCTGGAGAGAGAAGCAGAGTCTGGGGATCGAAGGTCACGGGTCCTGCCCTTTGGGCTGCAGCTGGGGACTCACATAGAGGTAGTCCCTGAGAGAGGAGCCAAGAGGGAAGCCAATCTGGGGCTTGAAGAGCGGCGAGGTGAAGTCCACAGTCCTCTTGACGAACTCCCGGTCTCCAACACGTGGCCCGTAGGGAAAGAGGGAAACACCTGGGCCAGTACAAAAAAGGGCAGGAAATTCTCACGGGTCCTGACTTCCTTAGGGCTGACAGAGAGCTTCCCCCAAGCTGCTCCTCCACCCAACTGGGAGCCCTGAAGGACTCCTCTGTCCCCTTCTCCACTTGCATTTAACCCATCTCTTCATTTTTGACCCCTTCAGTGGGAACTCTCATCCTTTACCATTTTGAAGAAAAACAGGTCCTGCTGTCAGAATACCAACAAGTTATTCTGCACCTGTTATGATGTTCGTAATTCTCTCAAGGGTTCAAGGACAAAGCTCCAATGTTGTGAAGATCAGTAATTGAAATACCATTTCATAGAATGAGACTTGTTTCCTAAGATGGTATTCCTCTAGATACACTGGGGACCCCCCAGAATTTGTCCTTGGACCCCTTAGAAGTCCATGGGCTCTCGTCCGAGAAAGCTTGTCCTAAATATTTCTCAAATGGATCTCCTCCTTTCTTTCCTGGCAGCCCTCTCCTGGTTTGCTTAGAATACCACAGCGGTCTGTATACAGCTCTCCTGGCCTCCTGAAAATTCATCCAAAACCCCAAACCCCACAGGACCATTCATAAATACAGATCTAACCATGTCCTTCCTGGTTCCCTCACATGACAGCCTCATTTCTCAATACTCTTCACCTTGTTTCCAGCACCCTCAAGTGCTTTGGGGATATCCTCCCCATGCAATACTGGGACTACTTTTCATGTCTACACCTTTATTCCTGCTCTTCAAGTCCCCTGCCTGCTTGGCATGCTTCCCCTTCCCTAGCTCCTATTCATTCTTTCCAGGAAGGCTCCTCTTCACCTTGAGCACACCTTGCATCCCCTAGGGGCCTTCCACTGTGCATGCCTAACACCTTACATTTACTCCTCTAATTGCACCTATCAAGGCAGGAGATCTGTGTCCTACTAAAGAACACCTTGATCATTTCTTATCTCCACCTCCTAGCCCAATGCCATGTACAAAGCCAGCCCTCAGCACCCAACTCTGATGCTGTCTCATAGTCCCCTGTGAGAGCTTACGACCCAAGAGAGCAGTCTATGAGCAAGCAGGCTAAGACTGAGTATTCAGTTACATCACCCTTCTAAAGGGGATATGGGAGCAGCTGGACTTGCCATGGCCCAGATGAGGCAGTAGAGATATCCAGAGGACAAGTTCCCCCAGCTACCCAAAAGGGCCCTCACTGGTAGATCTAATCAAGCTGCCATAAACTACAGCATCCACATCTAGCTCAATACTCTCCATCCCAGAGTGGAGGGACCCCAGACCTAAAGAATCACTTAACCTTTCTCGGGCTTGATAGGGACTGGAGCAGCTGTTGAGTGTGCGCCTGTGGACGTTCTAGGAGACAAGGTTGTACGGGTCTGGGAGGTTGTTGACAGTAGTGATGGTGTTGTCCTTCTCTGGTTGCCTATCCTCAGTGAGGTTGTGATTGTTCCTGGGCATGCAGGAAAAGAAAACTTGAGTGGGTCTTATAGTCAGAAGGGAGCAGAATCAAAGAGAGTCACAGACTTCAGGAGCTGGGGGAGACAGCTAGAAACGCTCTTGTCTATCTTCTGGCCACACCCAAACTGCTCCCTGCACATAAGCAACAGTCTTCTCGGGTAGAGGGAATGATGACCCGTCACTCACCTCATTCCCACTCACTTCATCTTCTTGTGGACCTCCGCTCGATGCTAGCCTGGTAATGCTAACTTACCATCCTCTCTAAAACACTGCTCTAGGCTGAACTGAGCCAATGGGGCTACCCTGAGAGACCAAGATGCTGGAGTCCCCACATACCTGATGTCTGAGTCTTTACAGAGGAGCTTGAGGATGCTGTGGATGGTGGGAAAGTGCTGGTAATAGACAGAGGAGTAGAGGGACCCGTGAATAGGGTGGTGGAGCTCCCGGTGACTGCAAAGCCAGGAGCTGATTGAGAAAATGAAGAATTATTAGTTGAAATATAGAAATTTGATATGGTCTGAAATGTGTCCCTATTACCAAAGGGAGTAGAATCAGAGAAAGAATGGACTGTGGATGGATGCATGACATCTGACCCAGATGAAAGTTTGTGCCTCACACTGGAAGACGACATGGAGCTGGCTGTGTCCTGGGAAATGCCCTCTGTAGCACTGTGTTCACAAAGGGAGGAAGAAGGACTAGAGGTTATCATTAGTGACAGAGTGCTGGTTTGAGATTCTCTGCTGGTCCCCATGGTCTGACTGGTGTGGTCCTGAGAAAATGCTATTCTCTCTGGAGTAGAAGTGAAGGAACAGTGTGCTAGTGAGGGTTCCTCTACTTCAGTTGACACGGAGACTGTTGAGGTGACTGGAATAAACCTTCAAGGATCAGGTTGTGGCATGTGATTTGTGTTGCCTCCTATAATGTCTGCTGACATTGGTGTTGTGGGGACCTCTGAGGTCATGGGGGGTATGTGGCTTACACTAGAAGAGGATGAAAACTCACCTGTGGAGGCCGATGATGTGGGCATTTCTGATGTTGTGGAAGGCTTATGGCTGACCCTGGAAGGAGATGAAGTGCTTCCTGCCCCAGAGGTGGCTGCGTCCTGGGAAATGTCGTCTGTAGGAGAGTATCCACTGACAGAGGATGAAAGAGTAGAGGTGGTCAATGGTGAGAGAGTGCTGGTTTGAGATTCTCTGCTGGTCTCCATGGTCTGA